ACCACACAGCCGCAGGACCGGGGGTTGGGGTTCCGATGGCGAAGCAGAAGATGAGGTGTGCCACCTTGAAGTCAGTCATTGTGAGCGGTGTGTTGAAGTCCCTGAAGGTGTGCCGCCTCTCCGTGAGTCTTTTGAGCGGCCGTGAAGCAAGAATTGACATCACGAGCCAAATGCGTATTGCGGCTTTGAAGGATGCTGCCGAGAGGGAGCTTGAATGCTCAATTTATGCCCTGTTCAAGGACAGGTCTTGACTGGAATGGAAGATGTGTGGTCCAACAACCATCCGGAGTTTTTGCGGGATGTTCATTTTGATTGATTGGATGTACATCCACAAAGCCCTAAACAATGAGTAGTTGCCCGGAAGGAGGAACGCCGCCTGGACCTGGACAAAAGTGTTGGCGAAGCACAGCTGCAAGATGGAGATGCGCTTCAAGCTGTCGCGCCCTGGCTTTCTCTTAGTACTGATTTTGCTCGTGCAATATTAATTGAAGGCTGATGGCATGTCGCTCTTTGCAGGTTCACAAGTGTTTTGGGGCGCCTCAACCTTGTCTTTTCTCACGCTGAGACTTCCGAATCCGAAAGTGGACTCATTGCTGAGATGGCGAGGAGTAAAGGATACCTTCTTTTCTTTGGGTTTGTGCTACAGGGCGCACAAAAAGGGGTCACTTATCGCCGTGACTATCCAGTATACAATACACAGATGGGATATAGTACCAATAGATCTACAGTAATCCAATTCAACTTGAACCTTGCGCAGTGGCCTGACAAATAAGCATCCCAACCTCTCTCACAAAGCTGATGTGACAACGAAACCAGTGTTGAACATTTCGTCCTCCACGCCCGAACCCGACTGTCAGGTCGGTCAGGCAAAGGCGGGGCTCTACGGACCACGTCGCGCGACTAGCTTGTTGGCAACTAAGCCCAGGTCAACGATCCGAGACCACAGGTTTCAATTTTCCATGTTCTTTTCTTTTTCAGAGGCATGGTTCCAATAACCTTTCTTTCATGAACTTCACCTTGATAGAATCCAGTTGTCACCGGGCAGGAGATGGTCGACCAGTCTGATCCCACTTCATTGGCTTTGGGGTACATATATATATATATATAGAGGTTCATAATGCGCTGAGCCTGAGGATGTTGAAATGTTTACTGACAGGCTTCGCCAACCGAACCGGCGATGCCCTTGGGGGGACGGCGCATACCCGCGGGCTCTTTGCACAGCAAAACCGACGAGTAGCACAGCTTCTGACGCCTGCGCATACACACTTCCACATAGGTGTGCGCATGAAGTAAACAGCCTGGCAACTTCAGCTTCAAACACACGTACGCACATGCACACCTGCACACGCAACCGCACGCACACGCACTTGCGCACACGCACTCGCGCAGACGCATGCGCGCAAGCGGGCACCCAATGAGCGAAGTTGGAGCCACCTTTGCGTCCGCGAACCCTGTGTCACACATATAGCTTGAGGCTAGAAAATGAAAAAAAGCACAATTTTCTCAGCGTTTTCCATTACACAGTCCTGATAACTGAAGAAGCCATATAAGCCCAGGTGGTGCTAGAAATGTCGGCCGCAAACCGACATTTTAAACATCGCCAGGTGTATTTACTTGAAAAAGCATCAAAAGCAGAGGCAAAATGATCAAAAGTGGCTACTGTAAAGCCTTATCTCTGGAGAAGAAAGTATGCTAAGAGGAGAGAAAGTTTTGAAGTAGCAGTTGTGTCGAGCACCATTGGCATCACCAGAGTACGAGCAGCATTGTGCATAAACTACAAAAAATTTGCAAACACAGTGTTTTGCGCCTAGTCATGCACCAAAGGATTTACATCTTTCCTGCTGAGGCCCTGCTGATGCTAATGATGCTCGACCAACATTTCTCCTCAAAATCTGTCTCCATTTTCAATGGTTTGCTTTATCTTCTAGAAGTTTTGAAGCTATAATGCTTTCCAGTGGCCATTTTTGATCATTTTCCCTGTGTTTTGATGTTTTTTGACGAAGCCACATGAGCCCGGGTGATGCTAGAAATGCGGGTCGGCGGCAAGAGCGCGTCTCCGCATAGCAAGCTAGGCTTGATATGGTCACCGGGACGGCATCACCGGATTTTCTGGTGTTCTGGGTTCCCTGCCGCCGACCTTTTACTTTGAGGATTCTTGGCATTGGGTCCCTTCTTTGTGCTAGTCAGTCTCAATCATCGCTTCTTTGTGCCACAGTCCAAACGACGAAACTTCTTTTATATTTGGTTGGACCTGGACGAAGCTGTTGGTGAAGCACCGTTGCAAGATGGAGATGTGCTTCACTCTGTTGTGGCCTGGTTCTTTTTTTGGGGGGACATGTATTGTTTGGCATCTCCGAAAGTGGATTCGTGGCTGGGTCCTTTTTGGGTGTGGTTCTGCCACTGCGCAAGGCCTTCTGCGGTTTCACATGGCCAGAGAAGCCGCAGGACCGGGGCAGCGGAATTAATGGTGCGAACCGCCATAGGTGAAGATGTGGATCTCCATCTCAAGAATGGTTGTTTCGGGGTGGAGCACTCTCATGTATAGGCGTCTTGGTGGATTTGTGTGGGGAAACAGTTCAAAGAAAGGATGTTGTTTTGGAGTTTGTGCACAACTTTTGCTACACATCCTTGGTCACAGGCCACCTACCATCGGGAACAGTGGGTAGATTGCTTCACAACATGAGATAACTTCAGGACCTCAACTCTCTGCATCGCACCCTGAGTGTGGAACAACAGCTGCATGCGGCACGCGATTCAGACGAGAGCGTAGAGCAGCGCAGCAAGCTGGTGAAGACTGTGCAACTCGAGTGGCTCGGCGATGGATTGAACAGGGTAGATGACCCCCAAACCGGGTATAGTGCCATATATGAGCATGTCTCCGCGGTGGCCCCCCCATGCTTTGCAAGAATCTTTCGACCCATCGGTCACCTGGGCCGTGTGGGGGCATGTGGAGGCTCCGTTTCCGCCTGTTGCCACACCATAGTATCCGTGAGGGTTTGAATTCTTTTTCTCAACCGCCGAGACGTAAGTCCCTCAAGCCACTGTCGTAACTGCGATCTATTTGTGAAGCTGAGGGCCAGTGGTAACTCAAGAGGGTCCCCGTGATTGATGTGTTGACATGGATGGTAAATTCGTGGCTCTTCTTGCTCTGGGTCTACATGAGTACATCCTATTTATATACATCATCTATATACTATCTTATACTATCGTATCATTGTTTTACCACCCATCTTTATCAAACTAGGATTTGTGGGAACGGCGGAGGCCTTGCCTGAAGTCTTTCCGAGGTTGCACCCTGACAAGGGTGGCACAGATGAAGCACAGATGCTCGTCCTGGTCGTCGTGCTGGCGGGGTGGTGCAAAGAACCAAACTCTGAGTCGTAGACCAAATCTTGCATGATCCACCAAGCCTTGGACATATTGAGATAACCAATTTATAGTTAATGCGGATTTGCAGGTAGATTGCGGGCACCTTCCGCTCATGTTCCACGGGACCAGAATCCCTGACAAGCGGGAACAGCAACGTACAGTGACACTTGGAAGCTCTCAACTCTTCGACTGTCAACTTCACATAGGGCGTGGCTATAACGTGCTCTAACCCGATGTCCCAGGCTTCAGTTTGCGAGGAAAGACTACTCACCAGTCCAAGACTGATCATCGATCGACAGCTTGCACGCACTCTGTATGAAGGTCGACCTTTTCTCCTCTTGGAGGAAGTTTATAACAAATTCTGAGGGCAGAGGGTAAAGGCCCCTGGGTGTTCGATGCTCGCCTGCCTGAGGATCTGGCTCAAAGAGTGGCTGAAGGAGCACCTCGAGTGGTTCTTCGAGCCGCACCAGGTCCCAGAGACCCTCAGGAGGAAGTACCAGGCGAGTGATGTTTTAGGAGATGATGAGCTTTGGAGCATTGACCACCAGAACACCTGTCAGAGACAAGCTTTCAATCAACGGGACTTCACTCTTAGGCACATTCTAGAGATTCTAGAGTAGCACATGTGTCCACCCTATACCGCTTCGCGTGGGACCGGTCTTGATATGATGCGGTGTGGGACTGTGGGACACTCTGCTCAAAATTGAGGGTGATACGGTGACACGGATAGTTGGCCCCCAAACAAAGAAGAAACACTCTTTGTTGCGATGCAAAACAGGCAAAGGTCTTCACAGGAGACTTTTTTGGAACACAACCTCCGTGAGAATTCAAATTGCAGTCATCCGCAGACGCTAAACCGGCTCCGGTGCTCAGGGTGACGAGACTGTCTGATAGATCGCCCTGATGGCATCGAGTAGAGATCGATCCCAAGCTGTTGCCCTCTGTGATTCAGACATGGGACACGTCTAGATCCAGTGAATCCAGGTGATTTTTCATCCTTGAGTTTTCCTCCTCCACAGAGGGCACCCTTGAGTCAAGGGCAGTTCCGCGTGCTGCCGCCCAGAGCCCTTCCATGGGTGCATCACGCACCAAGCAGGACATGGAGTCGACAGATGGCCACACCGAGCATGTCACCTCCATACCTGTGGGATTGAGTCAATAATTCGTTTTGATTTTGCCTTTGGTCATTCAAGGCAGACCAAAGTGCCGCAGCAGAGCCTGAATAGATCTGCATCGATCCAAATGAATCTAGTACGGGGGAGGATTATTATCAGCTTTTTGACGCAAGGTCTGTGGTGATCACCTCGCGGAAATCATGAAAGGAGCATCTTCCTAGCTACTATGCTGGCTGGTCCAAGTCTGCCTTTTAAGATCTGCCTGTAAAGTTTGCAGGCGCATGCGCCGCGCTGAAGCGCACGCGCCGCGCTGGCGCGCCTAAGTGCGCGAACAGATGAGCGCCAGGTGCAGGCAACACAGTGGAATAGCTGGTCTAAGGGCACCAGTCACTTGCTTTTTTTCCGGGATTGCGAGTCGGTACTCTAATTATGTCTTTTGCCTGCAGAGAAGGCTCGAACAGCTTTGACAAGCGACTCAGCGACTCAATCTTGTGGATCCGCATTTGACGATTCGTGATGGCTGACATGTCGGAGGCTGATCATCGTGCAAAATTCCGCGTTGGGCTCCGTCTGACTCTGTATATATATATATATATGTATTATAGAAGACTTATACAGTTTTTTTTCCAGAAATTCTTGTCTCAGATTCGTGCCGTTTTGGTGGGAGCACATTGTTATCAAATAACGATGAATCAAGCATTCCCACAAGCTTTTCGCTTGCATTTCGATTGGGTTTGCACGATCATGGCGATCTCACACTTTTGGATGGTAGGGTTTCGAACCTTTTGACATGGCCATTTTTGCGTGCTTCTCCCAACTTCTAGTTTTTGTTTGCAATCTTTTTGCGCTATTCCATGAGCTTCGTTGAGGTTTGAAAGCAACCCATAACAGGTAAGATGCCATCCAAGCCAGTGGTTACAGAATGTTACATGACCCATGGCAAGGCCAGAATCCACGCTCCACGGTCTTATTTTGAATCTTTTGCTGCAACGAAAGGGGCAATGCCAGCGGTAGGGGTTGGACTCCTTACACGAGGAAAACCATTTTGTGTTCCAAGTGATCAAGGCACTTTAAGGGTACATCGTTGATGTCAAAGGTCAAATAGAAGAAAGGACCCTTAGATCGGGGAGAAGGATTTGTGAAAAAGGGCCCACGGGACCAGTGGAGAAACCCACAGCCTTGAACACGCCTATGCTATATTGCCTGTCTACCCCAAAAAAGTCCCCACCTAACTGGCCCTGCACCGTCATTTGCTCGATCGAACAGGCTCTGGCAGAGTTGGAGAGGAAGGAGGTCGCTGAGAGACACGGGCTGGCCAGGGTGGGTGGGAGAGGTTTCTGTGCCGGTGGTGGAGGAGCATCACTTTGCGAAGAGAGCAACTCGACGAGTCGTTGCTGGGACTCCTCCCAGCGAACCAGTTGTCGTCATCGAAGAAGGGACGTGGCGAACTTTCTTCCCAAAAGCGAACCGGTCAAGAACCCCTTTTCGGTGCTGATCACAGCGAATCGGTCAAAACTTAGTGGCTCCAAGACGCGCTTGAACATGTTGCAATCCAAGTGGCTGTTGGTTGTCAAGTACATCTTTAGGTTACTGAACCTGGGTTTTGCCAGGATTGATCTAAAGGTGATTAGATTTAGATGTGGTAAAGTCAAACCCTCACGCGGTACCTTGAGACATGTCAGTGAAGGTGCCAGTGACATCCCTGAGAGATAGACGCCAGGCTGAAGCAGGTGACACTCCCATGGAGTCGGTGGGAGACCAGGAGAAGCAGGCGAGGGACAGGTGTGATCAAACGTGTTCGTGGGATCTCCTGGATATGTCTCAACATCGGGGACAGTCTTTTATACTTTTCCCTTTTTTGTTCATATGTCCATCAAAGAAGAGTCTCCCAATTTTGAGAATAAACTGTTTTGAGGCTTGATCTAAGTTCTAAGCAACCCTCTTGTGGTGTTTTGCTTCTTACACAGTTCTTGAGGCGCGGAATGAACGGATCCAATGATCATAACCAACGTTGGCGAAGAAACCCTCGTCTCCTATTCATAGATTGTACCATGGAGAACTCGGAAAAACAACGCAATAGCATCCTCTGCGGCTCTGCGTGTTTGAGAATTGTTTCCTGGTGCTTGGGAGACGATCACCACTCCCTTGCCAGGACACCAGCATCGAGGCATTCCCAACGCCCGACGCTGAGAAGAGATCCACCTCCTCAGGTGAAGATGACGAAGATCTGGATGCCGATCAGCAGGAGTGGTGAAGACGCTGCGAACGGGAACTTGGGATGGGCTTGAAACGAATTCACCCATTTTCCTGGGCAGGTTAAAGGTCCATGGCAAGATGAAACCTGTCAAAATGCCTGCATGGGGGTAGCATGAGCCCACGGATCTCCATGCTGTGGCAGGAGTCCATGGGCGAAGACGACAGGAGTCCAGAGGAGCTTTCTGACGGTTTCGGACGGATGAAGTGCAGGCCGAGGAATCTGCAGACGGTGTGCAGGTCGAAGATATGGACAAGTTTCCCAAGTCCTGACCGACCCATCACTGAAAAATTCGTAAAGCAGATCAGAGAAGGTACAGTGGTCAAGGAACCATGAACAGAAGGTTAGACGCGTGACCCCAGCAACTTTAGCCATCAACTTTGCACCATGTGGTGTAATTGTCCATGTGATGACAGGTCCCTACTCTCTCTCTCTCTCTCACATGTCCACCTTGATGCACCACTGCCACGTGAAAGAAGGTACAAAAAGTAATCTTGACCCTCAAAAAGGTTAAGGGGGCCATCTTTCTCACGATCAACATTGACCCTGAACAAGATCACGGTGCAACGAAACCATGTTGCATCCTCCGCTGCACTTGTCCAAACTTGTCCAAAAACCGAATTTATACAAAGACAAGATCATGTTCGATGTGGGGTCTACTGTCTCCCTACGGTCTTCGGTCTCACGACAACCATGTTCAGGACACCTTGGCGGCCGAACCAGATGCCCTTCCGGCCCACCAGTCTGATGATCTCGACGAGGAGTCCCACTTCATTGGCTCACTGGGGTCACCCCATGTAGACCATTCAGCTTGGGATGCGAACATCTGGGCTACAGGGGGCGAATGGATCTACTGGCTTTTCTGGAGTTTATTGAAATTAGGTGTTTATAGTAGGTTCACAGTGCTTTGAGCCTGACGATGGGGTATTGTGAGGTGTCTATTTACAGCCTTCGGCATGCCGCCGGCCACCAGCTCGAGCCCGCATTGGCAGGCAGCCTAATGATGCTTATTAACAGTGTTCCACAGTTCTATTTTCGTTCCAAGGCAGGGACAAGATCACCTCTTCTAGGCTGAAGCAGCTATATAATCCGGCACGTCTCTTTGATTCAACTCGCTTTTTCCTGTTCTCGCCATGGCCTAGTCTGAAGCAACCGGGGCAGGGCAGGCTGTCGAAACATCCGCGCGGAGAAACAAACCGTAGATTGAAACCAACCGTAGATTGAAACCCATGGAAGCCAACACAAGCCAGACGAAGCAAGACAATCCACAAAACCGGTACTACTTGGCCTTTTGCATGTTTTCCTTGTCAGATCTTTTCTTCGACCGTCTTGAGGAATTGCGAGTCGCACAAGATATTCTTTTTCACATACAGAAGGCTTCAAAGCGACTGACGAATTTCTTGATCTGGCATGATTTGTCGTTTTTTCTCCAAACCGTTCGAAATGAAAGACCCAGAATGACATCGAACAACAATACCCTGCTCAATCATACTTGTTGGTGCATTGGAGTTGCACATTTGGCTGGGTGAGTTTGTTGATGTTTATTTCAAGGTTGTTTGACCATGAAATGGAACGAAATCGAATCAGAGGTTGTCTATTCTGATCCAGCGACCGACATGTCTCAGT